ACTTGGTTCACAACACCTTTAAACATCAGACATGAAAGTGGATGATACAGCCATTCTGATTACTTACAAACTTGGTTCACAACACCTTTAAACATCAGACATGAAAGTGGACAATACAGTTGTTCTGGTTACTTATAACCTTGGTTCACAACACCTTTAAACATCTGACATGAAAGTGGACAATACAGCTGTTCTGGTTTCTTACAACCTTGGTTCATAACACCTTTAAACATCAGACATGAAAGTGGACGATACAGTTGTTCTGGTTACTTACAACCTTGGTTCACAACACCTTTAAACATCAGACATGAAAGTGGACGATACAGCTGTTCTCGTTTCTTACAACCTTGGTTCACAACAACTTTAAACATCAGACATGAAAGTGGAAAATACAGTTGTTCTGGTTACTTACAACCTTGGTTCACAACACCTTTAAACATCAGACATGAAAGTGGATGATACAGCCATTCTGATTACTTACAAACTTGGTTCACAACACTTTTAAACATCAGACATGAAAGTGGATGATACAACTGTGCTGCTTACTTACAACCTTGGTTCATAACACCTACATCAGACATGAAAGTGAATGATACAGCCGTTCTGGTTACTTACAAACTTGGTTCATAACACCTACATCAGACATGAAAGTGGATGATACAGCTGTTCTGGTTACTTACAAACTTTCCAGGCAGAAGCGATGACTTTAAAACTACTATTAAGTTATTTCATCTTAGGTTGCTAGAAAATTTACCTGTGGTAGTTAGAGCTGGCTTTTAACCTGATGAATTGATCACTTATGGTCAGTGTATTGTAAAGTAAGATATGCAGAATAAAAAAATGGCCAAATTACAGCTTATTCTGCGACATATTACTTGCAGAGTAAAGTCCAAGATGTAAGTAAGAGAACTAAAATATTTCTAAGGAATTTGTTGAACCTATTAGTCTTATATGAAAAACAGTATTCTCGTTACTAAAAAGTTGAAAGGAGCAGATAGTAGTTTTTGCTGATAGTACTAATAACCAATTCTTGCATCTGGTTATTAGCTGATGCTAATGAGAAAATACATCTTCAAAATTATTTAGAAATGCATGTAAGGAGACAATTTATTTTAGATTAAAGATGGTTTTAAAATTAGATTTATTTATCAGTTTAAGCTGCTTGATTTATAAACTCAAGTCCTGTATGACTTTAAAGTGTGTAACAGTTAGATAATAACTTGTCTTAATTGTTATTTCTTTAAACAGTTATATGATATTGAGTATTGTAATAACATGTCTTAATTGTTATTTGTTTTAACAGTTATAATATTGAGTATTGTAATAACATCTTAATTGGTGTTTCTTTAAAGTTATATGATATTTTACCTTGTATTAAACTGACTTAATTGTTATTTGGATTAACAGTTATATGATATTAGATTTTGTGATAACACATCTTAATCGTTGTTTTAACAATTATATAATATTCTACCTTCTACTAACATGTCTAAATTGTTGTTTTTACAGTTGTATGATACTTTGACTTCTACTAACATGTCTTAATTATTTGGTTTAACAATTATATGATATTTTACCTCATACTAACATGTCTTAATTGTTGGTTTTTCACTTCATAGTGAAACAAAGGAGACTGGTAGTAGTAAAGAAAAATGTACAGCAGTTTCATCTCTTTGGGGTTCTTCTCCTCGTACAGAGGTATCTGGAAAAGATGAATTGCAAGGAAAGAAGGAGAGAAAGGTTTATCATTCAAAACCTAATGCTGGTGAGTTTATATTATTTATTTATTTGTTATAGCGAGAAGGAAATTTTTCTGTAAATAACTTTAATTTTAGTGGAAGTTGCGAATTACTTAATAGATACCATGAGGGAATTCTAATAAGGTATTTACCTCCTTTCACAAGATTATTCATTCTTGTTCTGTGCTGCTCTCTTTATACGAACTTTTCATACATGCCACAAGCTTTGTGCACCTTCCTCTGTTGGAAATATCATGTTTCATGTTCCAAGCTCACTATAGAGATGGGGTGTTCCACAAGATCACTTGTAAGTGAATAACCTTGTGATGTCATTGCTTCATACACATGTCCATTCTGGACCATATCCCCAATGAACTACATGGGTAAAGCAGAATGGAATTGCTGCCCATCCCTGCCATGCCTCACGTGAGTAACCAGGTATGGTCTGCTTTTCAAAGTAGGGTTTTGTGGTCACTCATTGCACTGTCTCCAGTGATGATGTTCCTCCACTGCTTAATCTCCCTTCTTTCTTCGAGTGGAGTATGGGATCTCTTGCCACTTTCAGTTCCAAGCCCGCTGGGGTTATGAACCATGGAAGCACCCTCCTGAATGAGTTCCCCAGACCATTCAGTTGAGATTAGGACGATGGTGTTCTGTGTAGATGCAATGTGGCCTTTTGATCATGTTACATATCAACATTGGAGTTGAGCCATCTCCTTCTGGGATGATACGGCCTCCCACTACCGTTTACACAAACAACTGAGTTAAGCCATCACCTTCTGGTTGATGTGGTCTCCTTATCCCTACTACACTCATGGGAGTTGACCCATCACCTTCTAGGTTGACTTGGCTTCCTGCTACTATTTACAAAACCAGGGGAGATGATGTTGCCTCCCGCTTTCAATTCACACTCGAACTGAATCGTCACACTTACAGTTCACCCTTCAATTGGATGCCCTCATCCTACCTTCGTGCGGATGTCAGTTCCTGGTGTCAAGGTTTTGGATTAGAGTGAACTAATCAACATAAGTCCTCCCACAGATATAGGTTGTCCCTCTTCCTCCCTCAATTGCTCCGTGTCTTTCATCATTGCATAGTGGGCTGGTTCTGGTGCTCTTCTAGACTATCCCTCGTTCTTATGGGGATTTTATTGTCCTTGGATGGTACTGGCCTGTGCCATGGTTGGGGCAGTTGATTCCATTTGATGGACATCCTGTCTCCGTGGCATACCCAGGTATCGGTACGAGTCTCAAAACCCTGATTTTTGGGTTTGAGGTGAAGACGGTATGATCGTCATCTTACCCCTGTGGGGAGGTTTGGATGTAGGTGATTTACCGAGTATGGTTCGATATACCTTAGCCACTCTACACCTTACATTTCCACCCTTGTGCATGTCACATTGTCTACAAGGGCAAAGAATATACTTGGCTCAGAAGTAGTGTGCTTCCCCTTTTCTGATCTTCGGATCTCTAGCTCTTAGATTCAGAGGTATCCTTTGGATGCTTTTGGGGGTGCTTCCAGTTAATCTTGTGAATGGAGGTAAGTACTGTATCAGAAGTTATAATTTTCCTGTATGAAAATGTATTTCCTATAGGTAATTTCCTTCTCTCATACTTCTCACCCTTAATCTCCACTTTCCAGTGTTCATGCCTTCTGCCAAACTTTGAAGTGAAGGTTCGGTAGAGGAGTATAGAGGGAGTCACGTGCGTCACAAGAATATGTCATGCTACTATTGGTTAAGAGATTGCACATGATGATTTGCATGAGAGACATGTTAGAACATGATATTTCCAACAGAGGGGGTGTGCAAAGCTTGTGGTATGTGTTATGAAAAGTTTGCATATAGAGGGCATCACTGAACGAGAATAGCTAATCTTCTTAGAGGAGGAAAGTATCTATCAGAAATACATTTTCAGCATAAGAAAATTATAACTTCTGTTGGCAATAAACAAGTGTATTTGATAAAATATAAGGAGTCTTATTATAAGTGGAAATTCCTTGTACAATGTATTTGAGTACATATTGTTTTTTGTCTTTATATGAACTTGAATATTTGTAAAACTGTACTCATTATAAAGTTAGTGAGATAGCTCATTCTTCTTCCAAAAGACACTGTACTTGTTATAAAGTTAGTTAGATAGCTCATACTTATTCCAAAAGACACTGTACTTATTATAAAGTTAGTGAGATAACTCATACTTCTTCCAAAAGGCACTGTACTTGTTATAAAGTTAGTTAGATAGCTCATACTTAATCCAAAAGACACTGTACTTGTTATAAAGTTAGTTAGATAGCTCATACTTAATCCAAAAGACACTGTACTTGTTATAAAGTTAGTTAGATAGCTCATACTTCTTCCAAAAGACACTGTACTTGTTATAATATTAGTGAGATAGCCCATACTTCTTCCAAAAGACACTGTACTTGTTATAAAGTTAGTGAGATAGCTCATACTTCTTCCAAAAGACACTGTACTTGTTATAAAGTTAGTTAAATAGCTCCAACTTATTCCAAAAGACACTGTACTTATTATAAAGTTAGTGAGATAGCTCATACTTCTTCCAAAAGACACTGTACTTGTTATAAAGCTAGTGAGATAGCTCATTCTTCTTCCAAAAGACACTGTACTTGTTATAAAGTTAGTTGGATAGCTCATACTTAATCCAAAAGACACTGTACTTGTTATAAAGTTAGTGAGATAGCTCATTCTTCTTCCAAAAGACACTGTACTTGTTATAAAGTTAGTGAGATAGCTCATACTTCTTCTTAAAGACACTGTACTTGTTATAAGATTAGTGAGATAGTTCATTCTTCTTCCAAAAGACACTGTACTTGTTATAAAGTTAGTGAGATAGCTCATTCTTCTTCCAAAAGACACTGTACTTGTTATAAAGTTAGTGAGATAACTCATTCTTCTTCCAAAAGACACTGTACTTGTTATAAAGTTAGTTAGATAGCTCATACTTCTTCCAAAAGACACTGTGCTTGTTATAAAGTTAGTTAGATAGCTCATACTTCTTCCAAAAGACACTGTACTTGTTATAAAGTTAGTGAGATAGTTCATAGTTCTTCCAAAAACTACTTTTTCTTTGATTTGTCACTAGCAACACTGTTAAAGTCATAGTAGACTGAAGAGATCTTGTTGTTTACATTCTTAGCTTTAATTGAGTTAACTAATGAGTTTATTCTTAACTGGTAATGCTTCTTTGTTAGATATAACTATAGAAGAAGAAAATGAAAAGTTAAAGGAGCAGCAACTATGTAAGATTTGCATGGATCGTGAGCTAGGAGCTGTTTTTTTACCATGTGGACATCTTTTAACCTGCCCTCAATGTGCCCCAGCTCTCAAGATTTGTCCTCTCTGCCGGAGAGAAATAACAGGAATCGTTAGAACTTTTTTCTCATAGACAGAAGTTTGTGACTGCTTTTTGTGTATATTTAGCAAAAGTAGATGGAAATATAAAACTTAGTTAAGACTTAATGTTTGCAGTCATTCAAGTTGTAATAAACCATGGCATTACTCTACTAGATCATGGTGAAAAAACAATAATTAAAGATGGAATTTTTGTGAGAATAAATTAAACCTGTTATTCTACAATTTAAAATGAACTTTTAAATTCTCTATCTTTTACAATAAAGTATTTTTTAATTGCAACTAACTGGTGGTTGTTGTTTTTATGATGGGAAATTGTAATAGAGTTTTTAAGTTTTAGTTATTTAGTTTTTACTTTTAATTCTAAATTTCAATTCATAAGCTGTAGAAAAGATAAGTTAGCTTAAATTCCTGAGTAAAATGTATGTTGTTGTCGTGTCTGTAAAGTATGCATTCAGAATTATATGTTGCTGTATTAATCTGGATTTTGTACAAGCTCAAGATTCTTGTCACCAGGTGGTTAAGATTATTGAGAAACAAACACTGAGTGAACAGTTTAAATGGAAATTGTCTGATTCACTTGTGTTTTTAGTTAAGTGCAAAACAAATTTAACTTGATTTTATTGTTTTTAACTAAACCTGATTTGACTGCAAAAGTTTGTGTAAACAAAACAAAGATATTCAATTCAAGTTTTGAAAAAGTGTAGGTGATGTAACTGTAATGATAAATTTTCCAATGAGTACTGTGTGTGTGTGTGTATACATACATATCAAATGTTGATATTTTGATGAATGCTACTTT